CGGGAAATCCTGGCCTCTTCTAAGAACTAGTCATGTTGTGACAACAGAGCACCTCCTGGTCAGATTATGACTGAGGGGTGACAGAAAGGTCAGTAGCCTTAGCCATCTTACTCTGAGAGGTTGAGGGAGTGTTGAGCTCAGCTGGGACTACCTCTACAGACTCTGTAGTAGGTACTACACCTTCTACTGGCTTGCTTGGTTTCCCTGCCTTGCCTTGGGCAGCGGTTCTTGATGTTGCCCAACTTGCCACACTTCATGCACTTCACCCCACCCCAATGCTGGTCTTCCCAAACGCTCTTTTCAAGGCCCTTTCTAACCCAAGGGGGTTCTCTAGAGGACCTGCTCCTCTCTTAATCTTTCTCTAACCCTTTTGGAGGGCCAGAAGCCTTAGCTTACCAAACAGCAGGAACTCCTCCCTCCGGAGCAACTACCTCGGTGTTTTCTCCTTGCTCTATCCTATCTTGGCTGGAATCTCGTCTCCATCCTCGTGATTCCCATCTTCATCGATGTAGAGGAGGTGACCCTTCTTCTTCCAGTCCTTGGGCAGTCTCTTCTCCACCCCAGTTGTCCCTCCCTGTACCACGCTAGCATTGTTCAGCCTAGCCTCTAAGGCCATCTTGCTGAGGGGCGTGAACTTATTCCTAGTGGTAGTGGTTTCGTTGACCAGCAGTTGCTTGATGTTGTCCGGAAGGGATCTGGGATAGCTGGTCAGTAGGATTTCCGGATTGTGCTGGAGTCCTCCCACCATGACCAGTTTCTCTACCATTTCTGTGACACTCCTGACATCCCTATCTTCAGTAGCTCGTCAGTAGCTCGTTGAGCTTGCTGCCTGCCGGGCCATCTATCTTCAACTAAGGCCATAAACCGATCCAGTGTGACGTGCTTGGCCCATGCCTCCAAGTCGCGCCCACAGCCACTATCTGCTATCATTCCATCTGACCATCTCGCTGCAGAGCCTTGAAGAAGTGAGGATGCAACAATAACTTCCCTTGCTACACGTGTGTGCTTCATCTGTACATACACCGGAACATTCCTGAGCCATGCATCCGGGTTCTCATCCCTTTTGTCCACTGTAAACACACCAGGCTTTTCCATAGTTGTCTTGGCAAAGGTTGGAGGTTGTGTCAGTCTTATAGGCCTTGTAGGAGATGACACTTGCACTGTAGCTTCAGACACTGAAGGGGAAGCAGGCTGCACTAAGGGCTGAGATGGACATGCACCTAACCCACTAGAGTGAGGCATGCCAAACTGAGGGACAAAGAGCCCTGATACGGGCAGTAAAGCTGTTATGTGCCTGATTGAAACGAGATCCAACATGGCATCCACACATTCCCATACGCATGTGCAATGACAAGTGACCTTTGGAGGGAGCAATCCACACCACACCGGATGATAAGAATACACAGCGGAAGCACACAAATACTGAAAATAGAATTGAAATGAAGTCAATTCTAATTACTGTCTCTCCCCAAGTCGATCAACAGCACGAATTTCCAAGGATCCCAACCACGTTATCAACACCCACGGACCAATTATTTACAAGGTTTCATCGAAGTAYCCAGGAGTCTTCTTCTTCCTCCCTCTTCCTCAAGCTCTAGCTATGGTGCTTGCAAGCACCCAACCTATCAAGCCTGCCAATCACCACACACCCTCCTAAATCCAACACCCTCTCTGCACCACTCAAGAAGCCCACACTGCTGATGAAGTGTCCACTCAGCAGGTGAGCGCAGCTCCCAGGATGATGAAGAAGAACAGCAACTCGATGAAGATGGAGATCTGCCACGTCGAAGAAGAACCGCTGAAAGTGCAGCTTCGATGGCAGCTGACCAAACCCCAACAAGCACACAAATATGAGGAAGCGCTCATCAGCACTTTCGGCGCCGAGCCCAGCGCTGTCACAAATGGAGCTGGCTGGCCCCAGCTATGGCCGCTAGCGGCATGTGGAGAAGATGCCCTGGATACATGCCCACAACAGCGCAGCAGGGAAGCAACGCAACCTCCACCAATACCGTGAAAACAAAAGCAACGAAAAGAACCAAAAGAACCCCAAACTCGTCGGCCTCTGCCTACTTCTACCGGACTTCTCTAGACCTACAACACAGCAGCGACCTACAGATCTATTTGACCGTCCAAACAGCAAACATCTACGGCCAAACTGTCAAGATCTACCTACATGCATCTAGATGGAAACCTAGACTAAGGGGACCCAAGGCTAGGACACACAAAAGAAATACCTACGGGCCTACCAGTTTCCAGAAGGGAAGAAAAGGACAAAACAACAAGGCTGAAAGGCCTAAGACTACGAAGTAGAGACTATTAGCGACAGGTTCAAGGTTCAAGCCCAATGAGGCTCAAAAACAGTCAAACACCACAAACCCACTACAGGTCATGGGATCAAGTCCCGGGTTGACTTCAGCAACTGCAGAAACCGACAAAACAGCGAAGCCTAAGTGTCTAAGACTGCCAAATAGAGACTAATAGCTTCAGGTCTAAGGATCAAGTCAAGTAGGGCTAGAAGCTAACAAACCAAGCATACAAATTACAGGTCTCGGGATCAAGTTCTGCAAGGCCCAAACGAAGGAAACAGCAAACACAGTTAGTGTACAGTCCCACTGGGATACTGTGATTTATTAGTAAGCAATGGGCGGAGGTGCAAGAGGTCTGACAGTTTGAACCGTGCTGGAGGGAACTTGCTTTCCTTGAGTGAACTGAGACAACATGGAGGTCATTCTGTCCAGCGCAGAGTGAATGGAGTCTTAACTTGTCTTCTACAGAATGAATTGCCTTATGGAGGCCCATGATATTCTGAGTGCCCAGTCTTTTATGCGGATTAACTCGAATCCACCGCGCCTAATGCTTTCTATTTGCTTGTTTATTTCACAGTAAGTTTGTCCTTAACAACACTTTACTCTCTTCATGTTGTATCCATGCTAATTTGGCTGCCAACTCCGTACGCTGATCTACTATTCTCAGATATCCTCTTTTTCCGGAGAGAGATTCTCTTGCTGCTGCGGCTGGCTGACACTGGAACCAGTGCTCTGACTAGACTGTGAACACCCGGTGAGACTCGAAACTGCTGTCCCAGATGGTGAGCCCTAACTGGAACCGGCACTCTGGCCAGCTCACTGAGTGACCATTGCTGCTGATGCTCCCTCCGCTGCTAAAGCGGCCTTGCAATCACAGCGGCCCTTCTAAGTCTTCTTTCAGTCTGGGAGTCTAACGCTTGATGAACAAGCAGTAATCTGCAAGCTGTACTCGTTGTCACCCGTCTATCATCAATCTCTACTTCATGGTCCTCATCACTTATACGTTTGACAACACCTACCCACTGCACAAGAACAGCCTGTTTTCTACCTTCCGCAGTATAACAGCTGACCGGTTTATAGAGAAGTTTTATTTTTATACCAGGCTGAAAGACATTGGAAAGCTACTTAATCTGATTCGTAGTTGCATTGTCTTTTTCAAAACTTATTAGAAACTTCAAATTAGCTGCGAATTGTAAAGGGTTACGTGTCATGTAACTCCGTTGGTGGTTTCTCACTTTTCAGCCTGGTATAAAGATAAATTCCTATAAACCGGTCAGCTGCGGTATAAAAGTAAATTTCTATAAACCGGTCAGCTGCTGTACTACGAAAGCCAGAAAACAGGCTGTCCTTATGTAGGGGGTAGTTGTCAAGTGTATGTAGTCCAGCTGCTAATCGGACATAAACTATAATCTGCTACTGAAGAAAATGCATCGCACGCGGAAACTCACCCCCTTTGTGTATGTTCTGCTGTCACAAATGAGTATACAGCTGGAACTCACCCCCTTTGTGTATTCTCTGCTGTTTGTCATCGCAAGATCTTACTGGTGACTGATTATGAGATGTAGTACCTTACAGAGAAGCGGACCACCCAGTGCACAGACTGAACAGTGGGTGACCAAACCCAATCCGTACTTATTTGGAGTCACAAACAGGAACACTTCCCCATCAGGTTACCTTTATAGATGTTCTGAGAACCGTCTTTCTGGCCTCTCCCAGGCAACCACATTTCAGTCTCTATCGCACGGCTGAAGCTGAGTGTGAACTGCGCAAGCATGCGTGCATTAATCCCATGAGCTGTCTTTCAAAGCGGGCTTGTGGTTCACCACAGAGGGCACTTTGTATGCACCGCCGTTCTCCCACAGATGCGCCAGAAGAATGTTGACTCTCAAGGTAGAGGGCTCTCGCAACTCACACAGAGAGAACTCTCAAGCAGAACACTCCTCGCCGTAAGTAGAACAAAGCAGGGTAGATAAGGTAAGGGTCAACATACCTCGTCAATGCTGCTTTCATCCACAGATTATCTCACCGGTTGTGATGACGTGCAGTTTGATGACCAGTCAAAGCTAAGGAAAACCAATGTCAATGCTGCCCCATTCACAGATTATCTCACCAGCTGTTATCGCGTGCCGTTTGATGACCGGTCGAAGGTAAGAAACCATCGGCAATAAAATGCAAGTGCCTCCAGAAGCAACAGCGACCATCACCATGCTCTCACCACATGCAATATAGTTGTGCCATTTTCCTCTCGCCATGCACACTCTACGTTGTGCACGTCTTGATTCCAACGAAATGTCGATCATACTGCCCTACTTACACCAGGCACCGCTCAACCTATCTCGCCGGCGCAAAGTGACTAGTGTCTCCGAACCTGCTCTGCTACCACATTGCGAGGAACCGTGCAATGCAAGCACCAATAGACCAGATTGCGATGTCTCATAGAAGACAAAACATGATTGAGCTGAATTGAAAGGAGGAAACCAAAGCGAAATGCACACCAAACAAGAGCGAACAATGCACCGAAGTCTCTTGATAAAGAAAGCCCTTCAGCCACCTCCAATCATTAAATCAGCAACAATGTTGTTGCTCCACTTGTGGCCTGATCGCCCTCCTACTTCCTAGCTCCTATTATACTAGCCTATCTACATGCCAGCTCTGTGTCCATGTGTCAATCGCCCAATGCTGCTTGAAGACTCTGCTTGTACAGGCCTCCTCTGTCAGGACCAGGTATGTATCACCAGTGCCGACTGCCTTCCTTCTAACCTTCCTCCACACCACCGCCACTCAGCAATGCTGCGTCGAGCCAGCTATGGCTGGTGCCTTCTTTCTTGCTGCCATCGCATCAGCTTCTTCTCCCTTCCAGGTGCACAGCGCTCAGCTGTTGCACAAGCAGCACGGCTGGATTGGCACAATGCCCAAATGTGTCGAGTCTGGGCGGCGATGTGACAGCGAACCTCACGCCCTTCATGACTTCCTTATCGGAGTAGGTGAAGGGTGTGGCAAGGATTTTAGGTATGTGGGTTGGAGTTCAAGGCTGGAACTGGAATCTCCTGTCTCGGCTTTTGTCAACCAGTACTTGGTGATCAGTTCAATCAATCAAAATTTATGTAAGAGGCGGGGTAGAAAGCCCATTTCGTCAGTCCGTGTTTGGGTTTTGACGGTCGGTTTGGTGAAGGCGATCAGCTCTCTGTTGTCCACAACCAAATGGTTTGGGTGTATACGGGGGGTCTTGCTGGGTTTCCTCATGGCCCCAATGGGGTACGCAGAATTCGGAATCCGAGGTGGACACTCTCAACCGAGTGCACCTAGCCTGATAATCCTCATCACTGCGGGCCTCATAGATGAACTCATGGCACCGGTAGAACTCCTCACATTGACACTTGGACCACAAAGTGTGGGGCGAAAAAGGGGCGATCGCGAACCGGGGGATCGTCATGAGTTAGTGAGAAAAAAGGAGGAGGAATACAGGGAAAAATTGGTCTGGACAATCACGTGAAACGGTTTTCACCTTTTAGCAGTAGCGGATGCAGTACCCAGGGTTCGATCCCTAGACCTTACCCTACCCATGTACAGTATCTGTGTAGACCCCGAGAATTGAACCTGTGACCTGTGTATTCGTAGGCAGCTGGTAGGCCTGTCGTATGTCCATAGGCAGCAGGGGTTCGATCTGTAGGTCTATAGCGTAAGAGTCTTAGTGAGTTCCGGAAGCTTAGCTGTAGACCTTCTAGAAGGTAGGCAAGTGGGCAAGTGGTCAAGTGGTGAGGCAAGTGGTGGACTAAACCACCGTGCAACAGCAGTACAACGTCGGTAGGATAGCGGTGAGTCCACAGTCAGTCAGCGGAAGGTCCAGTCAGTCCCAGTCCGGTCCAGCAAGTACCACAGGGGGACTGTGAGCAC